GAGGAGAATGTGAAGTGGTAATAGAGGAGCCTTTAAGGAGAAGCTCAAGACTCAGCAAAGCTAAGGAAGGCTCAGCTGCATAATTCAAGGACTTGTGGTCTGCCAGTAACCTGACCAAGGTTCAAAGCAGATTCTTCCCAGCCAGCTAACACCTTGATTTTGGTCTTGTGAGACCTGAACCGGAGAAATTGAACAAGCTCACCCGTTCTCCTGACTTACAGAGTTGTGGAATAATGAGTTGGTGATGTTTTAAAGTGCGAAGTTTATTGCAGTAGATTTTGGCAACAATGGACAACTAATGTGGATTTTGTTATTACTATAGGGATTAAATATTTACACATTGTATTTAGAGAAGAGCACACTGTTATTGAGAAAGAAAGAATATAATTTTAAACTAAACTATATTTACTAAACAGAACTTTCCCTAGGGTCATGCTTTTTAAATGTTGGCTATGGATCAGGTATATGAACTGGATTTATTATAAAAATATCACGCATGTTAACACAACGTTTCATCAAGAAAAGTACTGTTTCTGGACATGAAAGATTTTCTCTACATAACGGATTTCTTAAACCTGCCTTCAAGCCTGAATGTAGTCATATTTTAAGTTTTTCAAGTTAACAATTCAATCATCAGTTACTGCCTTGAGGAGCAGAAGCAAAGGAACAAAGGAAAACTCCTGAGAAATGAGCCTTGGGTAGAAGGGAAAGGCACGCAGCATACTTCATTTGCCCCCAAATTGGTTCAAGCCAGTATTTCCTTATGCTTCACCAAAGTTTATCCATGTGTTGTAAGCAAATCCTGAATCGTGCAGTTGGAAGAATGATAAAAGTTTTAAGCCTACATAATGGTGTCCTATTGCTCCTACACAAATAGTGTCTTAAGACAGAAATGCAACTCAAGGTTGCGCAGGTCTGATGTCCAGTATGGGTCTCACTGGCATCAAGTCAGTGTGTCCCCAGAGCTTAGGGTTCCTCCTGGAGGCTCCAGGGGAAGATCTGTTTCAGTTTCTTGAGGCCACCAGCTTTACTTGACTCTCAGCCCTTTGTCTCTCACTAAAGTTGGCGGTGTAGCATTTGCATCCCTCTCTCTGATGCCTGTTTCAATCCTCACTCTAACCCTCATGCTTCCCTCTTATAACAATGCTTGTGATTACATTGGGCCCACCTGCATAAGCCAGGAGATTCTTCCCATCTCAAGCTCTTTGACTTAATTACATTGGCAATGTCCCCTCTGTCCTTTAAGGTAGGATATCCACAGGCTCTGGATTAGGATGGGGACATCTTTGGAAAGACATTATTCTGCTTTCCATAGCCTGGAACAAATATATTTCTAATAAAATGCATGGGTTTCTAACATAATTGTAATTGCAACAATATTTTGCAAATTATTAAACAGTTGCATCTCAGTTTCTCCTCTTAAATCAGGTCTCCTTGCAGTCTCCCTCTTCCAGGCACCGGTGGTGATTCAAGAGAAGACAGGAATTTTTAGTAGGACAAATAGATTGACAAAGAAGACTACGTTTTAGAAGAAGATCATATTAAGTGAAAGGGAAAAAGCAAAAGCAATATATTTCTGGACTCCTCAAATATAATGCTAGTTGTATTATCAACACTATACCACACACACACACACACACACACAAACACGCATGCACACACATTTATGTATTTTTATTGTTATCCTCTACCTGTTTACACAAATAATTTTAAAAATTATTTTGGTGTCTTTCCTGGAGTCCTATTTAAGTGCCTAAATGTACAAACATTTGCTCATTTTTTATGACAGCTAAGTAATGTAGGGCGAGCTTATTTCATATAATTGAGCACATTTTAGAGGTCTAACATCAGTCAGCATTATGTAAATGGAAAGAAATTCAATAAATTATTTTTATATTTTCTAAGTCAAATATTCCAATTTATACTTTCCTTGAACAACTACTTATAAAGGGTATAAAAAGTGCCAGGTGCTGTTCTCAGTACAGTTGATCTAGTAGTTTGTACCACAGAGAATAACTACAGGAACAAGAAAATATACAAACATCTGTCCTTAAGGAGCTTATGTTCCAGTAGGCAGTTGGAAAATAAACATATAAACAAACAAACAAAAATAAACGTTATATTTATCATATAACTAGAATTACTGAAAGAGAGTGAGTGAGAAAATGCAGTGAAGACGGACCAGGGGCAGAAGGGTTCCAGAGGAAACTGCAAATTTAAATATGGTTGTCATGGAAATCTCTGTGAGAAGGTAACATCTGAGTAGAGTCCTAGAAGGAGGAAATGCAAAGTCTTTTTAAAAAATTTTATTTTTCAATTACAGTTTACACTCGATATTATTTTGTATTAGTTTTAGATATACAGCATAGTGGTCAACCATATCCTTTATGAAGTGTTCAACCTCAGTATTTCTAGTACCCACCTGGCACCATACATAGTTATTATGTCAGAGGTGAGACCTTTGAGAACACTGGTTCTATCTTTTAACCAATATTATTGTCTGCTTTGAACATATCAGTCAGTAATATAGACACTGGGAATATATCAGTGAACAAAACCAACCCCTTTTTTCCAAGGAGCTTACATTGCAAGAAAAAAACATTACTTTCTTTAAAATTAATTGATTCTTTTCTACCCATCATTTTTGGAAATGAGGGAAAATTATACACCATGCTCTTAAAATTTTTCTGTTTCTGAAACAAGAATAGCTTGCTAACCTCAAAAGGGTACTTTAAAGATTATTTAGCTAAAGTACACAGTTTAGCTGGTACAACAATGAGGTAGAAATCCTGATTTTAGTTTACTTATTGTTAGTTTGAATTTTGGTTTCATCCTATCTAGGTCTTACATTTCCAGGGCCTCTCAGTTGGAACCAGATGACACTCAGGACAAAACAGATTTCATGAAGATGATTTCCTAGAGTCTAACAACAATAAATGCAGTCAGTTTATTCAAATGTTAACCGTTTCCAGAGCAACGTGTGTAACATAAATATAATAAATCATGGATGTAGGGAAAAGCTAAAGTGTTGTCAACTGGGCTGTAAATGTTTCAACATAATAAACAGTAGCATGGAATAGAAATGGTTCCACAGTTGAAGATTGTCGTTTTGATGGAAAGAGACAAGATAGGCTTTAGATGGGAAGGGAAACAGTTCTGTGTTCGATTTTAACAATGAAGATGGTCTAAAAGAAATAGCATGTATGAGGATTGTCAGTGTGACAGATGGTTGGACTATTCATAATAAAGCCAAAAGATATTTTGACGAGAAAGCGGATGCATCTGACAGTTCACAAATCAAAATCCCAGGCAGCACAAACGAGAAAATATAATTGAATGTGTGCTAAGCTGATGCATAGTTAATTTTTCACAGCCCAAGGTGACAGAGCATGGGTGATGGACAGGAGTGTTAGCAGATTTGATAAAAGAAAGAGAGAGAGGAATAAAGCAAATACAAAAAGAGAGAGAGAGAAAGGAAGAAGAGAACATTTTATCACATGTAAAATAGTATTTTTGGCAACTTATATGAAAAACCAAATCAGAACTTATAATTCTGAATGCAATCAAAGTTATCATTTAAATACTAGATTTAAATACTATTATATGTTACCTAAAAATATAGTATCTCTTATTGGAAGACTGAATTCTCTCATAGTTAACAGGGGAATGCATTTCATTAATATCATTTCCCAAAATAATCCTAGCAAACAAGGTCTCTTCAATAATAGTATTAGCTGCTCTTTATGACACAAGTATTTGAATTAGTGAGTTCCAGCCATTTACATTATTTGTAATGACCATTATTTTAAGATACAATCCTACTTTAAGCAAAATTGAAAGGGATGAATTTCTTTTAGAAAATGAGTAAGTTGAATAAATGATTCTCCATTTTTCATTTAGGCAGTAATAACATTCTTCTTCGAGTGGTCTACAGGGCTTCAGAGGGGCACAGTTTCAATTTTAGTTTGAAAATACACATTCTTCAAATGCTTAATACTTTTAGGTCAGTATATCTGTAGCAGCTACATTTATACTACAACTTAGAAAGGGTAAACTGTATCGGCTCCACAGCTGGATTTTAGAGGTGGACTCTTGGTCTTCCTGAGAAATCAAGTAGCTGGTTCAAGAACATGCAGTCAGGCATTAGCATAGAGAGGATGGCATTCTGCACCTGTCGTCCACGTTCTTAAGGCCCTTGCTGTTCTGGCTCATAGCCATGACTTCTACCTCACCCACTCATTCATTCCCCTTGTCAGCCGCATATACATTCACAAAAGAAAAGTGAGACAAATGTCAGAATGCTTTCAGAAGAAACCCATCAATAGAAACGGACACGTATTACCATCTTATAAAAATCAGAAGTGTCTGTACATCATCTTTGTAAAGCTCAGAGTGCCCAGAGATATTTTCTGTTGATAGCTGAAACTAAAAATAGCACTGCTAGATGCTTTAATAATCTTTATTGCATCATATTTGTGAATATTATACTACATCACTGCCATCTGTGGTGATTCATAAATCACAGAGCAATAAAGCCTCCTAATAAATCTTATGCTCACTCTCTTCACATTATTGACCCCTTTTATTTGCTGATGCAAGAACTCTTCCATATGTTGATGCAGCATCTGTGATCTATGCATCATAATACTTTATGTCTGATATAATTTTCTATAAATCAATATGCTTCCTCCTTGAAGACGGCCCTGCAGAATGAGTTTCTTGGAGCATTGCTGGAAGTTTAGATGTGTGGCACAGTTCACAGTTCCTTTCTGTTGCTTGCCTACTATCATGGACCGGTGACAGTACATTGCTGAGAACGATGAATTGAGATTGCTTTCAACTTTCTATTGTAAGTGCATATTTTTACTTTTAAGCAAAAGTCCATGGTGCAAATGGAAATATGTAATATGTCTGCTTTCATATTTTATAGACTCAGTTGAATATTTTTTAATGTAATATTACTTTCATTTCTTTTCTTTTTTTCTTTTTTTTTTTTTTGCGGGGGGAGAGTGCAAACGCAGAACCCCACTATCAGAAATTGTGCAGTTGAGTTTCCCACATTTGGGGAAATCGCAGGGGTCAGCACATTCGGAGTGCAATGGATAAGTCTCGCCCTGGGAAAACCACCTTCTCGATCATGGTATCTCCCTTGCCGGGAAAGTAATGTGATATTACTTTAAACCACCAAACATTATGTGCTGCTCAAAAATAATAAAAAAAACACAGTCTTGTTTTTTAGATTTCTTTTGAACTTTGTGTGCTAGCTTAAAACATTAATAATGAATAGGGAAACCACAAATTCTTTAGCAATATGTCAGAATAACTTCACCATTAATTATATGTATATATGTATACATATATAATTGTGTGTTATATATATGATTGTGCATATCATCTGAAAAGCATTTAGAATATAAGACCATTTTATATAGATTAAATAAAAATCATTTGCAAATTTATAAAAAAAATTTAAATAAAAACAATAATGTACTAGTAACATAAGTATACCACTTATAAGTAAAGTACATTTTTTATTTTATTGATTTTAGAGATAGAGAGGAAGAAAGAGGAAGAGAGAGATAGAAACATCGATGAGAGAGAACATCGATTGGCCACCTCTTGCATGCCCCCCACTGGGGATCGGGCCCACAACTTGGGTATGTACCCTGACCGGGAATTGAACCGGCAACCTCTTGGTGCAGTGGTCAACGCTCAACCACTGAGCCACACTGGTCGGGCATAAGTAAAGTAAATATTAAGAGATAGCTTCAAATTTTGCTAGAGGATTATTAAGAAAGCAACTCTATACATCCAGGTAAGCCGACTAAATTAAAATTCTTAACTCCAGACTCTTAGCTGAAGCAAAACAACCAAAACAAGACAAATACAAAATAAGCAAAAAATATACTTATTGGATATATAAAGAAGGAAGTAGAAGAAGATAATAGCAACAAATGCCTCTTCTTTCTAATCTCCCATTTCTGGTGCCAAAGGAGAAAACATCTAAGGTAGATATGGATTACAATAACAGAGATATTATCAGTCCCTTCGTGGACCTGGTTTTACTGACAAAAAGTCTTCATCTACAGTTGCTTATGTTCAAGTGGAAAGTCACTGTTGTAGAAATGGGTGAACAGGTGATATCCATCTAAACAAGTGCAGTACCGTAGTATTCGTCTCACTCACTTGGGAGAAGCCATAAAGCATTGTCATTTTTCGACTCCCATCCATCAGAATGGGGTCTAATTATCCAAAGCTTTGTATCTCATTGGCTTGTTTACTTCTCAGACTTACTCAGAGAACTAACAATTTAAATCATTATCTGTTCAGCTGACTTATCTTTTTAGATAGATAAAGTGCATCTAAAATAAAAATTAAAAAATTCCTATACCCTTGTTCTTATTATCAGTATAATATTACATCTGACTCATCCATTCAGACAAATATGTCTCTAAAAGAAACTGTAAGTCATTTTTGTTTCTCTTTTTTCCAATTAAAAAAAAATAACAGTAATACCACATGAAGAATTTCTCACAAGAGATCAAGATGACAAATCATTTGTTCAGGTTATTATTTGTATAAATTAAGTTTCTCTATTTGGTATTATATTATTCGTATTAAATTTATATCCCTAGGTTTAAAAAATAAATTTAAGTATTTTGCATGCCCTCTCTACTCTTATCCAGAAGTTCTTACTTGAATTTTCTGTCTCTTTTAATCCTAGCTGTTCATTCCCTTTTATATATTAGGACAATGATTAATGTTGTCACTTTTTATAATTGCCACTTAGGAATCTGGGAAAGGCAGCTTCCACTTCTCAACTGTATCACCATCACCTCTAGTTCCTCCTATATACACATAAGACTCATTATGTCTCATTTCAGTGCAATCTGAATTTTGCCTTCATCAGTCCACAAAAGAGCATTAAAGCTGCTTTTCATTTTCAATGCACTTCTAAATGCAGCCTTAATAACATGTTCTCTCTTTTTAAACCTCTTTATCAAATTTAAAGCCCATAACTATTTCTTTGGTCCTTAAGGCTTTCCTCCCTTTAACTTTTAGCCCAAAATACTCTCTTAGTTCTTCCACCTTCTTCTGACCACTCTTGCCTTTTGCAGGCTCCCTGTAGTAGCACACTGTCAGTATTTACCAAGATTTTATTCTTACATTTTTTTACTCCTTTATATTTTTCCACCTGACATATTATTTATTCTCGATGATAGGCTAAGGCTAGAGAGTTGAGATTCATAAGAAAATGTATAATCTGCTGGCTGAGTAATTCTCTATCAGCTCCACCTAGATAACTTCCAAGGCTACATCTTTAGCTGGGATTCTACACTCCACTCTGCAGGTGTAACTTTTCAGCTACCAGATGGATACTGCAGCTTTGTGTCTTAGCAGTACTTTATTAATATATATATATACATATATATATATATATTTTTTTTTTTTCTTTATCGATTTTTTAGATAAAGTGGGGGAAGAGATATAAACATCACTGAGAAACATTGAGGTGAGATAGAAATATCAATTGGCTGCCTTCTGCATGCCCCCTACTGGGGATCCAGCCAGCAACCCAGGCATGTGCCCTGACCAGGAATGGAACATGAACCTCTCAGTCCATGGTACAACACTCAATCCACTGAGCCACACTGTCTGGGCAATTAGCAGTACTTTAGATTTGATCTGCCAAAAAGGAATTTTCAATTTTCAAATACAAATGTTCCATTAAAGTCCCAATCACATTTTAACAATGCTGGTTTCTTTGATGCTATCTCTATATGGACTGAGTAGTACTACTCCCTTTTACTTTTGTCCTCTTCCGGTCCCAGATTTTTATTTCAGATTTTACCTACCCACTGAAAAAAATTTTATATTTTTTACATCAGTTATCACCTATTTATGATATTGTATATATCTTTAAGATTTCTCCCAATTAGAAATAATTTCAAATAGTTAAAATTTTCTTCCTGGTATTTCTAATAAATATAGTTGGATGTACCAACATATTAAAAATTAAAATCACATCTACTCTGACCTGTTCCTCTGAGTGTTATTTTACAACTAAACAGCATCGTCACCAACCACGACCTCCAGCCAGGAAGTTGAAGACATCATTGAATCCATATCATCCTACACATTATTTTATATCTACGTCTTATTGATTTTACCTTAAGAACTGCTTTAATCAAACTCTTCCTCCCCCCACCCCACTTTTTTGTGTTTTTATACTCTACAGTTTCCTGAGAACTATCCTCATAAAACATGAAATTAATCATATCATTACCTTCCTGATACACATTTGGTGGCTCTTCAGTATCTACAACATTTTCTAACCCCTTTAAAATGATGCAGTATAAATCAGCATGTTTCAACAATTTCCATGTGTGCTCAGTACTTTATGCTACAGGTTCAAAAAGCCTCCCACCTTTCCCACTTATATGATGACTTGACAATTTCCAAAACGCTTTCTTATCCTGTTCCTTCTTTATGAGCTTGCCTTTCATTGTTTTCTTTGCCAAACAAAATCCAACTTCATCTCTAGGGCCCAATTCAAATCTCACACCTTTTTGTGCGAGTCTTGCCCTAAAGTACTATTTTCCCCACAGGCAAAATTAATGGTTTCCTCTTTTAGACATTCACATTATTTGGTTGCTATGATGTGTGAGGAATGTCTATTAACAATTTATCTGCCTGCTTGTGAATGAGCTTCTGGAGGGCAGAAAACATCTAATTCATTCTCGAATTTCTAGTATTTCATACTGCGTAGCACTCGAGTTCATAAATATTTACTGAATTGGGTAAAATTCTCTAATCTTTTAAATATGCACATGTGGTTTGTATACCTTATTTAAGTGAACATTGCTTATGACTTGGTAACAAATTATATATAAATATTACATAACTATTTTTTTTAAGGTCAGTCATGCTATATTTCTACCAAAGGGCCGAAGTAGAAAAAAAAAGAGATCCAGGCTGGAAATGTCCTTGGAAAGGACACTTTTCTTCTATGGTAAATGTAAGAATACAACCCTAACTAATTTAACCACAGCAAAATCCTTTTCTAGAATGTAATCCTGTAACTCTATTCTATGAAGTTAATGGTTGTTTCACATGAGTTATGGTGATATATTGAGATTTGAAGGAGGGTGGGGAAAGATAACACAGCAGAAAGTAGATGTAATACTTAAAATATAATTTTTCCAGAATGAAAACAAAATCTATAAGAGAGGGCTCCATAGAAGCATAATGTTCCAATTCAGACTTTCAAAACAGATTTACAAATAAAACATTTCATAAACAATGAATAACGCGCACTTAAAGAACCTCACACAGAAGAAAATTGCAACTGAGCATGCATAATTCGCACTATAGTAATCTTATTTTCTAGCAAAAGTAGTGAATCCTGTCACCAAATGGTGAGCAAAGACAAAGTGATGAAATGCAAACTGATGCTGCTGAAATTCTCTCCAGAGGAAAAGGAGATAAGAATATAATTGTGATGAGTTTTATATGTTTAATTCCCAACTGGCAATAAGATGTAAACACATAATTTAAAACTTGTTTTCATCAAGGTGTTGATATGCAGCTTAGAAGATTAGGTCACTCATAAACCTGAATAATTAAACATATTAAATACGGTGTCATTCTGGGGAAAACATATTTATGCACTGTATAATTTTACATATTTTTATATATTTCATTTCCTCCAGCTTTCTCACTTCCCTCAAAGCATGACATTCTGGGACTTAAATTTATTATAGTTTTTATTTCTTTTCTTTATTTGCATATACACAAATGATAGGACAGCCAGCAGATTATACATTTTCTTACGAATCTCAAGTCTCTTGCCTTAGCCTCTTATCAAACAGCAGCCTTATTATCTACAAGGTTGTCAGGGAACACGGGTTGGTGGTACTATTGCTCTCTCTCCAACTGTATTATAATAGTCAACTACATAATTATTTGCTGAAAATGAAGTGAAAAAACATCCTCAGTGGTCTTGTGAACAAAGATGAAAATATTAGCTTCATAACACAGTGAAAAGGAAAGGTGAGGTTGAGTAACATAATAAACTGATGTAACAGACATATACAGAATAGTTTACCCAACAAGAGAATATATATATTTTCAAGTGTACAAGACATTTTCCAAGATAGACAA